TTTAAATTTCTGAAATGAAACCAACTGGCATCAAAGCATAGGTTATATCTTTTCTGTTTACAGAAAAAGAACCTCTTATATTTTTAATGATGCAACCAGCTTCTTGGCATATGACAGTTAAAAATATGGCACAATTTGGAAAATGCAGAAAAAAATGGAAAAGAAAATAATCTAGCAAATATTTTTAAAGACCTCTTTACCTAATTTAAAGGTGTATGTTTCCCAGTTCTTACTTATAAATATCTTTTTACATTGAAATCATTATTTGTTGATAATTTTATTTCCTCTTTTTTTCATTTAACATTTTATATATATACATATATATATGAATTTTCTCTATGACCATCATTATTGTCATTATGGTTATGCCATAGTTTATTTCCTAATCTCATGTTGAAAATTTAAGGTTAATTTCAGCTTTTTTCTATTATAATCAATTGATTAATATCTTGGTATAAAAATCTTTGTCCATATTTTGAATTTATTAACCTAATCTAGATGCCTAGAAGTACTGGATGACACATTTTAAGACTGTTTATTTATACCCATTTTTATCTAAGTTGTCTAATTTATTGGCAGAGTTGTTCATATTTCCTAATTACCTTCTTAATGTCTATAGGCATAATAGTATATCCTCCTTTCATTCTACATATTGGCAATTTATATCTTCCCTCTTTTTTTCCTAGTCAGTCCCTGAAGAGATTTTTAGATTTTTATCACTCTTTAAAAAGAAAAAACAACAACCCAGTATGGGTTTAATTTTTTCACTGTTTTTCTGCTTTCTATTGAATTGACCTTTGCTCTTTATTATTTCCCTCCTTTTACTTAATTTAAGCTTAATTTGCTGTTCATTTTCTAATTTCTGAAAGTAGAAACTTGGACTATCAATTTGAGACTTCTTTTGTAATATACACATTTTAATGTTATACATATTCCTCCAAATACCCTTTTAATGCCTCCTCACACACTCTGATAATTTGTGCTTTTATTTTCATACAAGTAAAAATTTTTTAAAGATTTTTCTTTTGATCTCTACTCATGAGTTACTTAGAAGTATGTTCTTTAATTTCTAAATATTTGAGAATTTTCAGATATCCATCTGTTGATTTCTTCCATCACTCCCTGTGGTCAGACAGCATCCTTTGTATAATTTCAGTCATCTTAAATTTATTGAGATTTGTTTTGCCACCAAGCATATAGTGTATTTTGGAAAATGTTGGATGTGCACTTGAAAAAATACTTGTAATCAGCTGTTTTGGGGTAGAGTATTCTATAAATACCAATTAGGTCTAGTTGGCCAGTCATGTTGTTCAACTCAATTCTTTATCTCAATGTTTTATGAGAGTTATTGAGTTAAATGAGTTACTGAGAGAGGAATGTCGAAATATCCAACTATAATTATGTATGTGCTTATACTCAGTCGTGTTGACTCAGTGACCCCATGGACTGTAGCCCCCCAGGCTTCTCCATCCATGGGATTTTCCAGGCAAGAATGCTGTAGTGGGTTACCATTTCCTTCTCCAAGGGTTCTTCCCAGCCCAGGAATCAAACCCATGTCCCTTGCATCTCCTGAACTGCAAGCAAATTCTTTACTGCTGAGCCACAGGGGAAGCCCAGTAAGTATAATTATAGATTTGCCTACTTTTTCCTTATAGTTCTACCAGTGTTGCTTCATATATTTTGACACTGTGTTGATATATATATGTATATGTGTGTGTATATATATATATATATATATATATATATATATATATATATACACACACACACATACAATTTAGGGCTGTTATCCCTTTTCCTTAAATTTTTTTACTTATTCAACAACTCATATATCTATTTTCATATGTAGAAAATAAGGAAGTATAATACAGTTGACCCTTGAACAACATGGGTTTGAACTGTGTATGTCCATTTATATGCAGATCTTTTGTTAATAGTAAATACTGCAGTACTACACAATCTGCAGTTGATTGAATCCATGGATGCAAACTATGGATACAGAGTGCCAACTACAAGTTATATAAGGATTTTTGACTGAACAGAGGGTCAGCACCCCTAACCCCTGTATTGTTCAAGGGTCAACAGTATAGCCTTTCCTTTCCAGCAAACCTATAATGAGTGACTTCCAGTTTCTTATGAAATTCTCATAATTAATGAAAACTGTCTATCACTTGCTTAAAACCTCTGGCTTTCATCTTAAATGAAACTGAACTCCCTTTTGGTACATGCAAACTGATGATCTTAAGTCATTTTAGGATTAAGCTCATGGTTTCCGCTCAGAATAAATGGATTTTTATAAATGTGTCTGTGTGTATGCATGCATGTGTGAAGCGAAAGTTGCTCAATCATGTCTGACTCTTTTGCAACCCCATGGACTATACAGTCCATGGAATTCTCCAGACCAGAATACTGGGGTAGGTAGCTTCTCCAGGGGATCTTCCCAACCCAGGGATCAAACCCAGGTCTCCTGCATTGCAGGCAGATTCTTTACCATCTGAGCCACCAGGGAATCCCAAGAATACTGGGGTGGGCAGCCTATCCCTTCTTCAGGGGATCTTCCTGACCCAGGAATTGAACTGGGGTCTCCTGCATTGCAGGCAGAGTCTCTACCATCTGAGCCACCAGGGAAGTCTATGCATGCATATATATATACACATATTTAGTCTTTTAACCTTTCTTTTGGATTTCATACATATAAATGTGACAAAGAAATAAAATATAAACTTGGTACTTAGTGTGTGTGTGTGTGTGTGTGTGTGTGCGCTAAGTCGCTTCAGTTGTGTGTCCAACTCTTTGCAACCCCATGGACTGTAGCCCACCAGGCTCCTCTGTCCATGGGCTTTTCCAGGCAAGAATGCTGGAGTGGGTTGCCATTTCCTTCTCCAACTTGGTGCAGAGAACAACAGCTAATTCATGAAATAGCCATGCTACACGAGGCCTTACTACTTTGAGGAAACTGGGCCACCTCAGTCCCGGTCAGCCCCTCAGCCGCGTCCGACTCTTTGCAGCCCCGTGGACTGCCTGCAGTTGTTTCATCCAGGACCTTCTTGATCCCTTCATCTCCCACAGTCAGCCTCAGTTCCTGTCTTTTAATTGCTGTTCCCACTTCTGTGTTTGTGCTGCTCCAGCCTGTTTTCCACAGAGGCCAGAATAACCTTTGAGAAATACACATCAAAACATATCATTCCTCTCCTCAAAACTGTTGATTACCTTCTGATCGTACCTAAGGAAAAAAATCCGCAAGCCAAATCCCACCTCAGGACCTCACTGTAGTCACTCCCCAGGCTCAGGGTGCCCTAGCCATGGGCTTTCCCTCAGTTCTTCACACCGAACTCTCTCTTACCTCAGCATCTGCACATGAGTCTAGAACACCGCTTTCTCACCACCTCACTGGAGCCCCTCACCTCCTACTTTTTCCATCCTCCACCTATGAGTTTTCATCTGGCTGATTCATTGATTCGTATTCAGCACTCAAGTATCGCCTTCAGTATCATCTCCAGAGGTAACTTCTCTGGACCTCAAATCTAAATGTAGTTCTTCCTAGTATTCACTCTTCTTCTCATAGTTCTTACCAGAGTTTTTAACTGCATTGTGTTTTGTATAGTTTGTTTAATGTTTTTCTCTTCTGCCTTCCTGAAGCTTTCAGGATCATTTACATCGATGTTTTATATTTGCTCTTTGACCAGCACATAGTAGGTGCCAAATAAGTAACTGTTGAATGAATGAATGAGTATGAGGAAGAAAAATGAAGTGTAGTAAATAATTAGAAAATATTTAAGAGGGAAAAATGCAATTTTTACTATATATCAATGAAAGGTATATTAAAGCATCTATTTTCTAACCTATTTAGTTATTAAATTTTTCAAAGGTATAATTCCCTTTTTTCAGCTAAGATCTGAGGAAAAGGACAAGTTCATACAATCCACAAGGATTCATTTTTGTTTATTTATTAAATATTGTTGAATGAGTAAGAATATTTATAATCATGGAAAGCAGTCTAGGTAAATGTATTTAAAATCATTGAATTGTTTTTACTGACACAGTATTTCCATCCAAGAATTTGTCATAAGGAATATTGCTAAACATGGGAAAGTTTATATATTTAAAGATATTTTTCACAGTGTTTTTTATAGGAGTAAAACATTGGAAACCACCTAAATGCCCAGAAAAGTAATACCTGAGTAAAGCATAGTATATTCATTAGATAGTATATGAGTGGAGGAAAAACAAGTGAAAGCGTTAGTCACTCAGTCGTATTCAACTCTTTGCAAACCCATGGAACCCATAGCCCGCCATGGTCCTCTGTCCATGGAATGCTCCAGACAAGAATACTGGAGCGGGTTGCCATTTCCTTCTTGAGGAGATCTTCCTGACCTAGGGATCATACCTAAGGCTCCGGCATTGCAGGCAGATTCTGTACCATCTGAGCCACCAGGGGAGCCCCACATGTGAGTAACTTAAGCCAAAGGTAAAAGTAACATAAGCTAAATATAATGATTTTCTAAAACTTTATCTTAGTGCTGTTGTTGTTTAGTCGCTGTCATGTCTGACTCTTTGCGACCCCATGGACTGTAGCCCACCAGGCTCCTCTGTCCATGGGATTTCCCAGGCAAGAGTACCGGAGTGGGGTGCCATTTCCTTCTCCAGGGGATCTGCCTGACCCAGGGGTCAAACCCTTGTCTCCTGCATTGACAGGCAGATTCTTTACCACTGAGTCACCAAGGAAGCCCATTTATATCATTAAATGTAAATAAATGAAGAATGCAGAGTTTTACAGTAAAATTTACAAATCTCATCCACAGGGGAAAGAAAGTCTGGAAAGAAGTCTGTCACACTGTTATGGCTTTAGGTGATCTCCTTCTCTCTCTCTCTACGTAGACTGTAATATTACATTATGGTATAATATAGCTTGTATCTTGAGGTTCAGTACATTTAAGTGAATCCTGAGCCTTACATATTGTGATGATTTGAACTGAAATGCCCATGCTCTCGTTTTTCAGGATGACAGAAACTTTGCTGAAAGCTCCCATGCTCATGGGTTAGATCAGTCATCTTGTTGGCAGGATCATAGTCGCTTCCTGTCTAGTCCACGATTTTCCCACTTGAACTGTAAGTAATGATGCCCAGTACTAGCTTTTAGATTGGATTTAAGAAAATTCAGTTCATGGAAAGATTAAAATGAAAGACCAGAACATGATAGTAATATTCATGTTGTAATTTTGAAAAAAATTTCATTATGAATCATACAAACAATGCCCAAGTACATTTATAATATTAACCAACTTACTAAAAATATATGGAATCCCTTCCTTTTAGACTTTACACTTCTCAAAAACCTTAAAACTGAATCACCAAATCTTAATTAAGCAATTTTTTTGGCATGGAGATTGCTAGTAACTGTGGATGAGTGAGTAAGGAAGTTAGATTGTATTGTAATAAAATCCAAGTCTTCAAATTGTAGAAAAACTATTCAGAAATATCTAATTTTGTACAAAGAATAAGGATATGAAAACTGTTATTGTGTAGGTTTCATTCTGTGAATAACACACTGTAAATATTAATAAAAGGTTATAACATCAGCACAGTGTGAGTCTGTTGACCCAGAATACCTTCTCCCACCACTTATACTTCACCTTGGATGCAGTGTCATTAAAAAAACCTTCAGAACTCACGGTTTTAAGTATGGTTGCTGTTATGAGTGCTCACAATGCATTACAAATTCCTTTGAAAACTTTATTGGAATAATTATGGAATTATTTGCTATTCAAGTGACATCTTATTTACTGATTCTTCTCTTCACCCAAGAGTGAACTCCATGATAGGAGTGATGTTTATACACCACTGTTTCCTCAGCATCCTATATGGAACTTGGCACATAGTAAATGTTCAGTTAATGTAAGATGAATGAGTATATGATTTTTTTTATTTCAAGTCCACTTTTATCCAAGTCATTTGGGATTCAAATGTTAATAGATTCTTATTTAGATCATTTAGCTCTTCAGTTTTCCATAGATATAGATTTTGTACATTCAGTTGGACAATGCTGTCATTTTAAAAAGCTAGGTTTCTATAAAATAAAATATCGAAATTAGCCACAAAGAAGTAGGTCAAATAGAAAAAAATAACTCTCATTTTTTCTGATTTATATTCATGGATTCATTGAATAAATATTTATCAGTTTCTTACAAATGGTTTGGCTTCCATTATATCATGATTATTTTATTCCAACAGCTAAGCATTTTCCCTTTCCTGTCCTAACCATTTTGCCAAGTGATTTTATATATTTTCATAAGCCCTCCGCTATTCTAATCTGGCAGTCACCCTTCAATTTGGATCATATCTCAGGTTGGTTCTGGTACCTCAGAATATGATATATATGTAGTTATACAAAATTTTTATTTCTCATATTAAGCAATGGAAAAATTTCCTCAGGTCTATTTGATGTATGAAAACATGGAACAGGAGGAGGGTGGAGACCAAGCACCAAAAAACAACATGGTAACCCGTCCTTAAGACAGCTAAGAGCTCAGAAATAGACAGCACCAGGATGTGAGCGCAGAGGTCTTTGTTCTACTGGTATTTAATTTTGCCTTTAAAACTTGCAGGAGGCTCCTTAGGAAGGTCCCTCTTAAGAAGGTGGCCCGAAGACATTACGGGGAGGACATCCGCATTGTTAGAATTTTATTCAATATTACGGCAGTCGGTAAAAGAGCCTGTATTTGGCTTTTCACTCAGTAGCATTTCATGACTAACACTGGTCATTTCCTAAGATGTAATACTCACAGGCTGCTATAGGCTTCTATATAAATATACTGACAGAAACTTAAGTAAGAATAAGAAAAAAATATCATTGAGAACATTATTTGGATGAGAAAATACTTTATTAGTCTATATTATATAATCTGAGTGAAAAACTTAGCTTAAAAAGTAAACCTCTTTATTAATTTATTGATTATTTATACATAACCATATATTTTGCTATTCTTCTTTTTTAGAAGTTTTATGATTTTCCTCCCAAACCTACCTCCTCCATGTTTTTAAGGATACTTTAAAAAGTTTAATCCTAGGTACCTATTGTTACTCATTTTAGGTGATTTAATAAACATTTCTGGAAATAATATTTATTCTAATTTACTTTTCTGATGAACTTTGAATTTTCTGTATGTTTTTCATGATGACTTTTGGAATTGAATTATGATCACCCTGAATACATCTCCATTTTTGTGGTACACACAGTTTCAGCTTAATTATAGAAATTGTCCTGTCCTGAAAATTTTCTTGACACTACAAAATTAAAAAGGAGATTTGTCAAGATCAACAAGGAGAAAAATGGAGCCTGCAGTAAGTTGATAATACAGGGAACAGAAGACACCTTAAAAATATCATTAATGCCCTCAGAGATATGAGGAAATTGTGCAGCCACTAAAAAGCAAGATCCTATAAAAAAGGAGCATGAGTTAAAAGATCTCGGAAATTTTAAATATGATACTAGAAAGGTGGAAAACAACAAAATTGAGAAACCTCAAAGAAAGCAGAAGATAAGGAAAAAGGGCACTAGAAGAGATAAGATATTCAGAAAAACCAATATAGGAAGGACAGACCATGATTAGTGAGAGTCCTGGAAAGAGAGAAGAAACAAAACAGAACAAAGGCCAGAAGTGGGCAGATGACATGGCCCACCCAATAAATGGCTATTGCCCAGCTGTCGCCCTGAGATTTTTTTCTTCCCCTTCCTTCTGTATGGATGGATGGCCATGTTTCTTTGGTCACCCCAGGCCTTCCTCTGCTGGTTTCAGTTCTTTTGCAGGAGTACATCCAAGAAAAGGAGGTAAATATTTTCATTTTCATATTTCTGAGAATGGGTTTCTTCCATTCACACCTGACTGAGACTTTGCTGGCTATAAAATTCTGGGTTAAAAAAGACTTTCCTTCTGAAGTCATCACACAATTATCTTCCAAAATCTAGTGTTGCTATTGAAAAACCTTCTGTCTTTTTCGTTTGACTCCCATTCCTCTGACATGATCATTTTCACCATTGCTATCCCCCTGCACCCCTGGCCTGGCAACTTTTAGGATTGTCTCTTTAACTTCCATGAGTTTTGTGATGGTATGCCTCCCCATGTGTCTTCTACCTATTTGCTCTGGGGTGTTTTTAATCTAGACATTTATATTCTTCAGTTCTGTCACAGGGAAAGAAGAAACACAAGATTCCACCAGGAAAAGCTTTAGGAAATAAATTTTTTTAAAAACTGGATAGATTATTGAGTCATTTGAGCACTTAGAAAAACTACTAGTAGGCACATGACAAGTCTAATTGAGCTATTAGAAACAATTGAGGATGGTTATGGAGAAAGAGTAAATAAAAAATAGATAAATAAATAAAAACACAGGTCAATTAATAACTCCAGGAAAAAAAAATGAAAAGAAACATTGTCAGAGTAGTCCTATTAGGTTTGTATGTGCCACATTTACAGTCAATATAAATACTCACTATTGACATAACTGGAAGTCCAGACGTAACTATATAGGGAGGGTGGGGTAAAGAGAAGTGGATGGGTGTGGGTACGTCTAAAAATGATAACTCAGAAAATAGCAACATAAGCTTCTTTTTCTTTCAAAAATTGAAGTAAATACGGAAAATAAAGCTAAAAGAGTTGATTGTGGTTGACTCCAGGGAGCAGGTATGTGGGGTTGGGAGGGATGGGGCAAGAGACCGCAGTCTTTCTGTGTAGTCCTTTGGTGCTGTTTGATATGTGTATGTATGGACGCTCTGGCTATAAAGGAATCTTATATAAATAGAATGCTACTAAGAAAACTCCAGCTTTTATGTCTGACTAGCATGTGCTGGATTTTCTTGTTAACTTCTGGATGCAGCATGAAAGCTGGGGGTGGGGGGTGGGGGTTAGAGCAGCTGAGACCTGTATGGAGACAAGGAGGGTAACTGAGGTGCTGAGGTTGACATGGGTATCTGAGCCCACGGAACAGGCTCCTTCTGATTCGAGTTGGGATTTGCCCTGGATGAGGCTCTTTTGTCTGTGCTGAAGATGCTAAGGCACTCATCCTGCTGACTTCAGTGCCCCGTCAAAACTGTGACCGAAAGCGCAGAATCACCGACCACGGAAAAACAAAGGAAATGGGAAAGTACTGCATAATTTGTGGGCTCTGAAATGACCCGGCCTTAATGAAAGTTTGTTTTCAGTGGTAATTTATGTCAGCTTTGTGTAGTTCAGGTCAATTCAAGAAAAGGTAGATGCTTCCCTGCCAGGAAGAAGGGGAGAAATGTATAAATTGTAAGTTTATATGACCATTGGAAATAGGAACACAGAAATCCATTATTTAGAGCCATGATTACTACCAAATTTATCCTGGCTGGCTGGAAGTTATGGCCGTGATTCAGGACACTCTTTTAGAAGGCTTGGATTCCATTACCTGTATCCTGTAGACAGTGGGGGCTTAGTAAGGGAGACTCATAATGCCAGCTTTGGAAACTGTCATTTTTTACTTTTTTATAAGTAGTGACTGACCACTGGTCTCCATGTATAGCTCCTTGTAGGCTAAAAGACACAACTTCAGGACAGGGCTTTCACTTCCAGGGCCCAGACCAGACTGGATTGGAGTGAAGTCTGGAGCAAACTGAAGACTTCTCAAAGTCTCGAGTTCTTTGAGATTCAAATGTGAAATGTTCATGGAGTTGGTATCTATAAACTCAATTTTAAACATAAATGCAAATTGTAATTTTTCTATAATTCTAGCATTGTTGTAAATAATGTTTATTTAAATAAATAATCCCAGAAAGAAAGGACTGTGGTTTTTCATGGGGTTACTTTAGGAGTTGAAAGTGAATCTTACATATTAATTTAACTTGAGATTCTTAGAAAAGCAAATCAATGAAAGTTAATAAAAAAGAACTTTTTTTTTCATTTCCTTAACCTCAGATCATACTGCTCTAAAAAGAAAAGTTAGTGTACTTAATATGTGTTAAAGGTGAAATGATAGAACATACCTGGACCAGGACTTTATATTAGTGAATGGGAGGTTACAACTGAGCTGAAACCTGAATGGCAAGAAGAATCAGCTGAGTTAAAATTGGGTGGGAAGCATTTTGCTAATCCAGGGGCAGAACTGGAAAGACCCCAGAAGGAGGAAAAGAGGGAGGAGAATGAGTGAGGGAGAGAGTGATTGGCAGAGAGCATGGTAGGAGATGAGGTCCCATGGCAGTCTTTTCAGCCACCATCAGATGTTTGGATTTTATTCTAATTTCACTGGGAGGCCATGGCGGGTGGGGAGGGAAGGGATAATGCAGCAGAGTGACATAATCTGATGAACATTTTAGAAAGACAATTCCGGTGTGTGGAAAATGGGGCAAGATGAAAATAGGAGAGAAAATGGTGGCTTGGGCTGGGATGATGGTATTAATAACAGAGATGGTGTGAAGCAGAAGGACTCAGGCGAAATGGAAGGCAGACTCCTCAGAACTTACCCTTAAGTGGGACGGGTCCAGCAGGCAGGCCACGGGAAGGAAGGAACCAAGGTTTCAGAAATTGGATGGATGAGTATGTCTATCTTCTAAGATGAAGAAGAGCAAGGGCTAGGCAGGCATCAGAGATGAAGAAACGAAGTGGGAGGACTGACCGATACATCTGGATATAGATATCTGGAGCTCAGAAGAGAGGCAAGAGGTGGTAGAAAAAGAGTAAACCTAGATTCCATATCTAGTCTCAGTTTGCTTTTGTGTAAAACAGAAGTTTCTATAAAAAGGAAGCCCTTCAGATTTCTTCTAAAATCGTGCGCTTTAATGTCACTATATACTGATAACACCCGCCTTCTACCCTCACTCTTCAAATCCAAAACAAACATATGACATGAATATGTGGGGTTTTTTTTAATATAGTAAATTATTTTATTCCTCAATTGAAGATTTGGTAGTCCATGTAAAGCTTATAGAAAACTAGTAATCAAATGCAATGATTACTTACAGCTTTGTCAAGCCAGGGATTATATTCATCCGGGTTTCTTTTTCTCTTTTCTCTTACCTTGCCAGCCTTTACCCAAAGAACAGTTGCTCCAGACTCACCTTCAATCAAGGAAGATGCCCCAAGTTTACTGATGGATGGAAGAAGTCCACAACCCAGAAAGGAGGAATACAAAAGCAAAAACAGCAAAATGTAATTAGTTACTCTCCCTGAGTGTTTTACAAATAATAGTATAGGTATCCTCGCCACAGTTTGGCCCAGATAATCTAGCAGACCTGTCTGCAGCATCTGCTCTTCAGCATTGCCAGACACTGGCTGAAGTACAATGCAATTGGTCTTCGTGGATGATATAAGTTAAGCCAATCCAAATAATATCAGCTCGTGAATGACATACGGCTAACTTACTGGCAGCTTACACCAGCAGAGAAAGAAGAATATTTTTCACCTTGCATTTTCCACTTTCAGGTGTAGTCAGTCACATTTTTCTGACCAAAATTTGGATTTATAATTGAGGTCTTTCAAAAATGACTGGCTGAAAAATAGGAAAATGAGTTCTCCTTGAGGCAGAAGTTTCTGGCACTTTGAATTCAGCATTTGTATACAAGTGATTTTATTTTGATGCTTTCTCCCTCATAAATGATCATGTGTTATAACATGTCATGGAGATATGCATATATAATATTAGACAGTCCCCTTTATAAATGCTCAGGATTGTTAACATCCATCATCTCAGCAGTCTGTTACTACATGCAGTATCTTAAAATTATTTCCAATCATCCATTTTTGTAACAATTAAGAATTTACAAATGAAATCTGAATTGTTAAGAGTTATAAAGAATTTGTAGCATAATTTATTTATTTGTCTTTTTGTGGCCAAAAATCCCCCTGTGATCACTCTGGTCATATCCTGGACCATCTTTGGTTTACTCTGACCAGAATCATAGCACCAAACTCCTGTGTCCATGAGATTTACTTGCCAGGAATTCTAGTATAATCTGGTACTACCTGTCTGAACACTTTGAGTATCTAAGAGTCTTTCTCAACATCAAAGTGTTTTTAAGAACCTATTCTCTTTACATGCTGATTTACCAGTGAAGAAAGATTTTTATTAAATGCTAAATAAAAGTAAACATCCAGGAACTAAATCCCACTGGGTCATGATGGAAAGATTCTGAATGAAGACAAGGACAATAAAGCAGTATCTTCATAATGTGCATTACATTTTGTGTTTGTTCAAATCTACTTGCTTTTTAGATCTCTCACATTTCATAAAGATGTTTCTTGTTCTACTCAAGATGTGTTTTCCTAACTTACCATATTTAAATGTGCAGAATAAATGGCATTCTCCATGAACTCAAAGGCAACAGTTACTACAGAAGACAGGATGTTTTATTTCACAATTTACCAGTACAACGTATACAACCTCTGATAATGCAGCCATGCATTTTATCATTTGTTCATTCCAAAAATCTTTTACTGACTTGTTGCTATAGGCTAATCATGGTGTTAAGAAGGAAAAAGAGACCCCCAAACAGGTGCGCATGTCCCAAACTTTATTTGGCATTAGGAGTTACATGAGAAAGGAGTGATGTGTTCATGCTGGCTGGAGAAATTCTGAGTAGACACCACTAAGCAGGCTTGGTTTGGTTGTGTCTAACCTTAACCTTGAGACTTGGAGCTGCTAATGTGCTAACGAGCACCAGAGGTTTCAGTGCAAATGGAATTATTACTCTTTAGTAATATCTGGGATATTGAGAAATTATGTCAGTATTTTCATTGATGTTTTAACTAATACCATTTTTATCTACGTGGATCTAAATGACTGGGAAGAAAACAAGAGAGAAATTAACAGGTTTTGCTTAAGTCCTACAGGTAGACGTTAGATAACTTTTCGTTGAATGCATTAGTGGGAACTTCATGTGGTCCGTTCTATTTAATAGAAACTGATCTAAAACATTATTAGCTTTTTGTGGGGTACAAAAAAGGATTATTAGCTTTCTAAAAAAATCTGTGGTCATTAAAAAAAGTTACATCAGGCCAGTTAAGCCTGAAAAGTGGAGGTAGCTCAGATTATGTACTTGGCACATCCTTGAAAACATGTTAGGTGATGATTTTATAACAGAAAAGGATCTTATAAAAGGCCTTTTTTTTAAATCTGGAAAAAAAAAATTAAAGCATTGTATATTACTGAAGTCCCTATACTACAGTTGGATGAATGAAAGGGTCTGACTTTAAGTATGGAACACACAAGAACTTCAAAGACAAAGTCAACTTTTTGTGAGCAACAGTTTTGTCAAAATACCTTGGCCCTCTGCTTATGTGGAGTTAAATCCAAGGACCTGTCTCCTCTGAGGATTTTTCCCATCTCTTGCAGTCACCATAAGCTTGAGTTGGAAATTTAAAAGGAATGCTAAGGAAACACTAATAGTTTGGTTTGTACATTTCAAAAGCCAGAACAGTTTTCCCTTTACTCACCCCTTTGGCAGGATAACGTGTGATATCAGCCCCACTGAGCTGAGGCTGGTCGGCCATGTTGCTTGTAGCACTAGGATATTGGACAGGATAAACCTTATTCTGGAGATGATCGTGGTCCCAGACTTAATTTGAAGATTGACCTTTTCGGTTTAATAATTTTGATTCTTCTGGCCATCTTTCTCCCTAAACACACTAAACTTCCACTGAAGTTACTGAAGGCTGCAGATGGGAGAAGCACAGCTGGGAGAAATCTGGCTTGATGTTTTTCCCATTGGCTAAGGTTATTATTATTTCCTTGACTAATGTCTGATTTGAAGGCTGGAAACCAGTTGGTTATATAACATCTTATGCATCCAGCTTACCAGAATCACAAAGTTTCCTTCTTGTTACAGTTTACATATTTTTACTAATAGGTATATTTACTATTACATATTTTTACTATAGCTGAACAGAACCGTGCCCATAAGGCATTTGAATTGAAAGGTTATGTGGATAAAAAGCACCTCCTTGCTTAGCTAAGAATGCAGTTAAGCCTCTTTTTCTTCATTTTCCTCCTTTAACTGTGGCAAATGCATAAGGCTCAGGTCAGAGGTATGTAAAGCATTCTTGTAATCACAGTGATTATCACATGTTCCCTAATCTATATCGAATCTTATCATTAAAAAACAAATAACTGTTTTGTGTAGGACTTAAATCTTCCATGTAACTAGGTGTTGTATTTACTTTGCAAACCCCTTTTTAGGAAGGGGTAAATATCTAAAATTGTTTTACTGAGAATTTGTACTATAAGCCCAACTACACGTTATATGGTGAAGGCCAAGAATATAAATGATCATTGAGGAAGCTAGTCCTTTTTCAACATTCTTACACCCCTCCCCAAACAAAATGTCCCAGTGTTTTCTCTCAATTTAAAACAAAACAGAAAATTTGTGATTTTCATGGCCTTCAAATGAGGAAGCTGTCCTCACGAAAGCATCTGGTTTTCTTGGATCAAAACTAAAGCATGAACCTTAAGCTGGAAAGTAAGTTTGGGAAACTTTGTATATAAAGGCATTTCATGCTCTGAAGTATGATACGAAAATAGTCACATCTTTCAACTTTTAAGTTCTTGAAAGTTTAGCAGTAAAAACATATCAGCTTATTCCCTATTTGAGGAAAGAAATTTAAACCATGAAAGATTCCATTTAGTTTCATTTCCATTCAAAACACAACACATCTCATTTAAGGCTAAGAGAAATACTTACATCTAGAAGCAGAACTTTGGATTCTAAACCCCCAAATAAATTTCAGGGAAGTCTCCCTTGCTTTTGATCAGTAACAAAGTAAACGAATCTGCTGTGCTCTGGTAAAAACCAGCTGAACCTTCAAGTTCTAACCTCATCTGTCCCCATCTCAGCCTCTGTGGCTCTGTCCTCCCCATGCCCACGTCCCAATCCAAATCCAAGCCCAAATCAAGCCACTCGGAGTTTTACCAAGTCAGCTTCTACTATTCACCCCTGGAGTCTGATATGTCTCTGCAGCCTACAATGAAGGAGCTGGCTGACTGGTGTTTGTCACACCTTCATGTCTTTAAGGACCAGCCAATTAAAAGGATTTGAATGTCACGTGTCTTTGACTACTCTCCTGGTTGAAAACCCAGGAGTACTTCTGTGGCTGGTATCTTTTCTTCCATAATACAGTTTAACTCTGACATGGTCCAAAGCCATGAGACAATCGTCAGCCTGAACTTGTTGCCTTGCTCTCTGCAGGAATATGTGGTATTTCTAAACATAGCAGCATGTTAGTTCTCTTTCAGGAGGATAGTAAAAACAACAAACATATAATCTGATGACCTCCACCTTTCAGGGGCTTCCCAGTGGTGCTAGTGGTAAAGAACCTGCCTGCCAATGCAGGAGACATAAGATAAGTAGGTTCGAGCCCTGGGTTGGGAAGATCCCCTGGAGAATCCCATGGACAGTGGAGCCTGGCAGGCTACAGTCCATAAGGTTGCAAAAAGACACAACTGAAGTGACTTAGCATGCACGCACCACCTTTCAGAATGTAAAACCTTACGCTTTTGAGCATATAGGTGGGGGCATGAAAAAAGTGCTGCAGTAGTCAAATTAGAGCCATACATTTAGAACCTGTAATTGTAACAGTAACTTGCTGTTCTACAGCATTGATTGCATACTTGCCATTCCCTGGAATGAATGCTGTTTTCCTCAAACTGGCAGATGGTGGACATTTATGCCCAGACTGTCTTCTATCATCTCTCCATAGATCCTCATGAGTTGACAGCCTCTCATTTTTCATCCTTTGGTAAAGCATTTTGACTGGCATTATTTAAATAAATAGCAAAAATTGCCACTTATCCTTAAATATAGGAGTTCTGTGTCATCTGTATACTCGACTTAAAATATCAGAATACTGGCTTGAAGCAGTATTTTTTTGAACAGAATTAGTGGATATTAAACCATCACTGGTTCAGATGTCATAATTTAAGAGAAAATATCTCATTCTGAGGGAAGGAAGGATAATAGCATATGTTCATTTGTAACTAGTTGGACAGTCTCCTTTAGAGTCTGACTTCATGTTTTTGTAAAACCATGCTTTTTTTGCAAGTGTTACCAAGCCTCCAGAATTGGTCCCCCAGCAAGGGTCCTCCTGCCCAGAGTTGATCAAGCCAATAGAACAAGAAGCAAAGAGGAGCTTTATTCTTTGATCAGGGAATGAAGTGGTATG